CTTAGGGTCACCATAAGTCAGAAACTACATGAAGGCACACAACAACAAAACTGGGCTTTGTGTTGTTCTTTCCTTGGCCAGCAGAGAGAGCCCACCAACCTCAGCTGCAGTCTGATGGGGCCAGAAATTGCAGCTCTGGGATTTTGGACATGGCTAATTTATGAAGCAGTTTGGCTGGCCTTCAATGACCTACTTTCTCTCAGCCTTAAATTACATCTCTGGGTTCTACTGAAGATAAAACAAAAAGGGTATAAACAGAAATCCAATCCGAACGTTTAACTTATAAAGTAATGTAGAATAATCACTTTTTCCAGACTGCCATATGCATTCACTTTTTCAGTAAAACAGGGTATCCAGATGCAAAGTAAAGCTTTTGCTCTTTTAACAGTTGAAGATACAGTTAGCCCTCCATATCTACTGGGTTGTTTTTTTTATCCACGGATTCAAGCATCTATGGCTTGAAAATATTCCCAAAAGATATAAATTTCAACAAGGAAACCTTGATTTTGCCATTTTGTATAAGGGACACCATTTTACTACCGCATTATATATAGTGGGGCTTGAGCATCCATGGATTTTTGTATCCACAGGGAGTCCTGGAACCAAATCCCAGTACATAACAGGGAAGAGAAGGAAGAAGTTTTGCTCAGGGAGAGGTTTTTATGCTCTATATTCAGACTCACACATACACCTACCAAAATATCCTCTTCTACATAACTTTTCAAGTTTTTCCTTTTGAGTGAAGGATCTTCCTGCTTTGCATCTGATCACCAGAGCCTTGAAATGTTGAGGACTACATCTCCCAGAATCCTATCAGCTAGAGCTGATGCTGTCCAGGGTCTAAAGGAGATGTGGCCCTCCAATTGTAAACTGCAGCTGTGGTTAATCTTACTCCGCTGAGCCAATGGAAAAGACTGATGGGAACTGCAGTCCAGCCATAGCTGAAAGGTGACATGATCCCCATCATTATGTGCTTTCAAGTTGACTGCAAACTATGGTGGCCCTATCACTACTCTTCAACTTTTTACAGGTGAAACCACACACATGTGGCCAAGCAACAGCAAAGTGCTGTCAAGATGCCAAAAGTTGTTCATGAGGAAGAACACATAAGCTAGGAGAGGCTGCAGCAGCTTGCTTTTGCCTTAGTCTACTGGAAAGGGCTAGTACACAACTGTCTAGTCCTCTCCTTCTCCCCAACCTGAGTGTCAATTACTTTTGCACTGAACTCACTCTATAGTAGTTAAAGTAAACTGAGGACAAAAGGGGAAAGTGGAAGGAGAGAGAAACTAGAATATTATAAAAGCAGCTGAAAACTGGGATGATGGAGGATTAATCGAGACTCTCCCCACCAAATTGGGACTGTTCAGGGTATGCTATCCTAAGGTTTTCTTGGCAGGGCTTATTACACCACAGCACACAAATCTGCCAGAACTACTTGTGTAAACTTGCTGTTCCACTATAAATATTCTATAAACTTCCCTATTCACTTATTTTCAACAAGTCAACAGCAGTACATAAAGAACTGGAAGAGTGATCGGTTCCCACTTGTGCTGACTTTGAGAAGGGTACCAACACAAATCTCTTCAAACCAGTCTTGTAAAGCTGCTTTGATGTTTACTGATTTAAATTGTTTCATTGTTCAGTTTGCTTTTAATGATTATTTTAAAGTGTGTGTGTGTTTTATTGATGTTTGTGGCTACAGTAGGATCCTAGAACATAATCCCATTCAATCCCAGTGCAAGCTTTTATTGCATTGCTTATTGTAGCCATGCTGTGGTAACTTGGCACCAAGAGTCTGTGTTTCTCCAGCCCTCCTTCACCATCCTTCCAATGCCAAGGCTGCTGAAATCCTTCCAGCTAGCCAGAGAACTAGGAGGAAAGGGGACACTGGACAGGTATAAAAAGGACCTTTATTAGAGACCTTGTTAGCTGAGGTACACCTGTAGATCTTTAATTTTTTTAAGCCATGTTAAAAACACCTAGAAGGAAACTTTGAGGAGGTTTCTCATTTTGTTGTTTCTTTTTTGTATATATAATTTTTATTAAACATGTTTACATATAAAAGCACTAATCACATACATACAAATACATAACATATTAACACAGATATTAATATGAAAACCACATACATATATTCCACTCATTCTATAATAAATTCATATTATATATCAGTATTGATGGTCCCTCAAATTTCAATACTCCCAAACTATTACCTTTCGAATCCAATTTATGTAATACTTCCAGTCCAACTCTCTCATTCATATTACTTTTCATTACCTTTCATTCTCCCAAACCCTCTTCCTTGATATCTAATCTAACTTGAGCCTTCCCATCTCTTCTTGAACTCTAAGCTTTCCATTCTTGTCCTCTTCCTTCTATGGCTATTCCTAGCCTCCTTCTCTTTCTTTCCTCCTTCTCTCTCTCTATACTACATTCTCTTCTCCTTCATCTTCCTAGCCTCTCTTCTCCTTCATTGCTATGCACCGCCT